GGATAATATCCTACTGGTCCAGTGAGTGTTTATGATATGAGAAGTACTCCCATGTCATTAGTGACTAAAATGGGCTCTTATGACTCATGTAGCACAAGCAAGAGTTGGTCAGAATACAAAAAAAAAAAAAAAAAAAAAAATATCTAAATTGAGAAATGGAAAATTCTTCAAATATAGACAATAATCTCTGCACTCTATTCGCAACAGTTAAGAATTGAGCACCATTTTGACTGGTTATTTGTTGGACTTCTTGTCTTAACTATTTTATAGTTAATTGTCACTCAACAAGATCTTTTGATAATAATAACCAGAATTTCGAGTATGCAAAGAGTCGTTGTCTATTTGTTTTTGCAGTATCAATGGCAACACTTACAAGAGATAAAATTTCTCCTTTATCATATAATTCGAGGTCAAGGTCAACTTCAGCATTATATGCATCATCAATATATCTATTGAAATTTTGAGGTCGTGTTCATCAATAATAAGTAAGAATTGTTAGAGAGGTTTGTTGAGAACTACTTTGTACAATAATTTGTGTAGAAGTCATTTGTATATTAACAGAAGTGTAATCAATTATAAACTTTCGTAAAGTTCTAATAATCTAGTACATTGAGTTTCTGAAAGTTAAAGTTCCATAATTTATAAAAATTTTCAGAACTTGAGAAAAATGAGGTCCTTTATATAATAAAATTTGTATTCAGATGTTTAATTAAACTTTGACTAATTTGGGGTGATTATTACACAAAGTTCTATAAGATACCTTTGTTTATAATGTTTTAATCTCTCTGCATGAACAGGATTAAGTAATGTATTACCAATTTTATCTCTTATCAGGTAAACCTTATTATCTAACTTTTTTTCTATTCAAAATGGTTCTGTTTATTTAGGATTAAACTTTTGTCTATGCACTTGTCTTTTGGCAGAATTATATAATAATACAATATTATTTTTGTGATACTCGTGAGCTTTAACCAAATATTTTTGCCTTTCCTTTTGTAACTCTTGTGCACTTGTTACATTTCTTGAGGAGATTATGAGTGCGTCAGTGAAGGTTTCTATTAAAGAACTGATTCTTCGTTCCAAAGCCTCTTCATAAGTTAAAATAGAATAATTTTTCTTATCATTAAACTTAACATCAATAGGAAGTTATACTTTTCTTCCATGTACCAAATAAAAGGAGAAATATTTTGTTGATTCATGTTTTAAGGTACGATAAGCAAAGAGTACTGAAGGTATTATTTGATCCCAATTAGATTAACTGGTTTGTAAATATTTTGCAATGGATCTGCATAAGGTTCCATTGAATCTTTCTGTTAATCTATTCATTTGAGGATGGTAAGACGATGTCAGTTTGTGTTAAAATCATATTTTCTCCTTTAAAAGTTTGATTGTATCATTTACAAAATGAGCACCTCTATTAGATAAAATTATAGATGAGGTTCCATGTCAACAAATGATTTCCTCATAAAGGAATTAAGCAGCTTCTTTAGCTGTTGCTGTTTTTACAGCACATGCTTCAGACCATTTGGTGAAATAATCTGTTGTCACTATGATATATCTGTTTCCATTTTCAGTTGTTTCCAAAGGTCCAACATAGTCAATTCCCATTTGAAAGAAAAGTCTAATAACTGGTATAGATTCAGTTAATTGTATCTTTTGGGGATTATCAAATCTTTGACAACTATCATAAGATTCGATATATACTTAAATATCTTTTTCTATTGTAGGTCAATAATATCTTTCCAGAGCTTTCTCAATTGTTTTCTTGAATCCAAAATATTCTCCTAAAGGGGATAAATGTAGATCATATAAAATTCGTTCTCTGTCCTGCAGAGTTATTACTCGTAACGGTTTATCAAAATTGTTTTTGTTTTTCTTTAATAATTGCCCTTGTTCTATCAAATATTGTGTCACTTGCCTTGCTAATCTTTGTTTGTCACTTGTTATAAAATTTTCTGGATATTTATGAAATAATAAATAATTAATGAGATTATTATACACTTCCAAGTCCATTTTGTGCGAATTATTTTGTATTTATTTATAAGATTAAATTAATATAAGAAATTCAGAAGACTGTGCACTGGAGTAGTTTCTAGTCTTGAAAGTATGTTGGCATTGGTATGATCACTGCTTTTCTTCTTTAGAATAATATATGGTTCGTATTCTAATAAATGAATTATCTAGCGAGATAACTTTCCTTTCAGTTGTTTATGTTTTTTGAGCCAGGGTATTGCTTCATGATTGGTAACAATACAAAATTGAGATACTTGTAAAAGTGATGAAAATATTAGGTTACTCAAATTACAGCAAAACATTTCTTTTGATTACGGTGTAATTTTGTTCAGCAGTATTTAAGATTCAGCTAGTATAGGCAATTACATGTTCCTTTCTTTGGTCGTCGTTCTGGGCGAGTACTGCTCCTATAGCATAATCAGAAGCATCAGTATGAAGAATAAAAAAATCGGTAAAACTAGGGTGTTTAATAATTGGTAAGCTTATAAGGCATTCCTTTAACATTTAAAAAGATCATTAGGTTTCCTTTGTCTAGCAGAAGTCTCTATTTAACTTGGTCAAATTATACAGTGGTTTTGCAATCTTTGAAAAATTGCAGATAAAGTGTCGATAATAAGAGGTGAGATCTAAAAAGGACCTAACTTGTCATCTCGTTTTTGGCACTGAATAATTTTTAATTTTATCAATAAGAGTGAAATTGGGTTTAATACCATTTCCAGAGACCAAATGTTCTAGAAATAATATCTGTTTCTTGAAAAAGTCATACTTATTAGGATTCAATTTTAACCCAGCTTTGATAAAGAGTTGAAAAACTTGTTTGAGATGATCGAAATATTCAGCGAGAGTCTTGGAGTAAATTATAATGTTGTCCATATAAACCAGTACAAACTTCCATGTGACATCATAGAAGACTTGATCTATTAATCGTTAGAATATGGCAGGTGCATTCATGAGTTCAAAGGGCATGACCGTGAATTCATAAGTTTCAAACTTTGTGCTGAAGGCAGTTTTTTCTTGGTTCTGCATATTCATCCTTATTTGCCAGAACTCAGAAGTTAAATCAAGGGTAGAATAATATTGACTATAAGCTAGAACATCTAACATGTTGGGTATTTTTGATAGAGGGTAAGCATCAGGTTTAGTAACTTTATTCAATTGGCGATAATCTATGACGAGACAGAATTTTTCATTGGCTTTTCCAACTACCAAAGCTGATGAGGTCCAAGGGCTATACGATAGAACAATTAATTTTTGTTATTTTAACTGTTCGATTTCCTCTTTAATAAAAACTTCATGTCAGGGTGACATCTGGTAATAGTGTTGTCAAATTGGAAGAGCATTCCCTGTGTCAATATAATGCGTAACCATGTTAACTTGTCCCAATTACGTCATATCATGAGCTATAACTTGTGAGTATTTATGAATTAGGGTCTGGATAAGTTCCTTATGTTTATTATTTTTCAATTCATTTGCTCTTCTCATTACTAATAATGATTGGGAATGGTGGGCTTCTTGTGTTAACAAAACTTTAATGGTTTCCTATTAGGAATAATCATCCTCACATGTGTTACATTTGTCATTAATTTCCTCTAGTTGTTTATGACACCAATATTGTTTATTAGAATTTTGGTACCAATGTTTAGCTTGGTGTGCCCATTTTTGATTGGCTATCCACAGATTAACTTGTCATTCAAAATAGTTATATTCTTGTCAAGTGAAATCTTCTTGATCAATTTTTATTCTCCAGGCATCAAATTTATAGGTATATTAATCTGGGCTTTCCTCTTCAGTTACTACTAAGCCAAGAGTAACTTCTTCTTCATCTTCTTCCTCGTCAGAATCTTCATCACTATCCTTATCATCACTGTCCTCCTCTTTAGGTAGAACAGATAAGGTAATATTTCAGCAAATAATAACAGATTCTCATTTTCCATCTTTTACAATTACTTTACAATCATAATAATCAATTACTGCTCAAGCCTTTTGCAACTAATCGGTTCCCAGAACCATATTATAAACTTGAGTATCAATTACTTCCATACTAGTAGAGATAACTATATCTCCTAGATAAACTGACACATTTTCTATAATTTCCATACTAGATTTCTTGTTATCATGAATACCTTCTATCATTCATTCAGATTTTTGAGTAACTTGTAATCCTAAGTATTTTAAGAATTTTTGGAAGATAATATTTGTGGAGAAACCACTGTTAAGAATAATATTAGCAGTCCACTTTTCACTTGTCCTTTACAAATCATGGAAGTATTATGAAAAGAACTTTCTCCCAAATTGGCTTCTTCAGCTTTTCCTTTTCCTTTCTCTCCCTTTTCCTTGAGAGCTCGTTTCCTTCGAGGTTTTTAAATGACGGTAAGCTCATTAATTGTTCAAAAGATATTCCAGTTTTAGTAAATATTAGATCAAAAATAATAGAATAGGTCATAGTCATTTATGCAATAAGGAGTTTTTCAGTAGGTCCTTTAGATGTTTTTCTTTTCTTTTCCTTATTCTCATTATCCTATATTTCAGGATCAAGTTTAGCTTTCACATTTTATCTTGATTGGTTCCTTGATTTTCCAGAACCACTAGCTTAGTTATTTCCATCAATATCTATACTTCGTTATTCAATATGAATATACGGCTGTGTAAGTTTTGAATTATTTTCTCCAGTAAATGAGGGTTTGTATTATCCTTCGTACACTCACCCTTTTAAGGTGTGCGTTCTAGTTTAAATGGTCAAATGATTGTTGGGAAGGTTGTCCTATTCCTCCTTGATCCATTGTTACTAATACAGTTTGAGTTGGAACTTGTTGAGAAGCTTGCTGTTGAACAGGTTAATTCACAGGAACTAATTTTACTTGTGGTTGTGGGAGAACTTGTTGCATTACTGGTTGATATATTTGTTGCGGCTGTTGTTGTTGAGCAAAGAAATATGTAACATACATATTATTATTTTGATTATTTGAAGGGGATTGTTGAAAATTAGATGGTTGTTGTGTGGAACAACTTCTTACAATATGTCCTACATGTTCACACTTGTAGCATGTTGAGCTTTTGCGTGGTTACCTATTCCATGGTCTGTTTGTATTATTATTATTGCCTTAAGTAGGAGGGGATGTTGAAACATTTGAAATATTTACTACTAATCTTCCTAAAGCTTGTATTAAAGAAGTCAAGGCTTTTGTTACTGTGGCTTTAATATCATTTTGTGAGGCAGGATAGTTTTGAGAAATAGGTGGAGAACTTGTATGGTTTCTTCCAAATCCTATTAAAACTTCAGAATAATTCTTATTGTTTTCATCCATTTGGCGAGCTGCCTCAATTACTTATTCAAGAGTAGTATTATGTCGAAAAAATAGAAGTGGTCAGATTTGAAAAGCAATTTCTCTCCTTAGTCCTTTCATGAACTGATAAATTTTATCTTGCTCACTCCAGTTCTCTTGGTGATTTACCCTTTTAATTAATCGTTTGATATCCTGAACATAGTGGTCAATACTTTCACCTACTATTTTCATTCGATTTTGTAGATCAGTTTTCTACTATAGGAGTTTTCCTTGGGTTCAGAATAGTGTTAAAAACATGATTTTGAAGTTTCGATTATTTGCAGTACTCCAAGATTGGAAGACTCGTGTGGCTTCATTTATAATTTGATGATATCATGTTTGGGCTTCATTCATTAAGTATCCTCCAACTACTTGGAGTTTGTATTCGTTGGTATATCGATTTATTGTTGCATATCATTTAAATTCCTCAAGCCATTTCATAGGATCTTGAATTCCTCCTATAAATGTGGACATAAGAACATTGTTTTGAACTGCAAAGTGTTTACCTATAGCTTGGATGAGATTGAGGAGTTGTCCTGCTTGACTGTTATTCATATTTATCAGGTTATCAATTAGGTCTGGTTCTTTGTCATCAGATGTTTCAGTATTGGAGTCTGTAGTTGTGTAATCTTCTAGATTTTGGAGATTTTCAAGTTCCTCTAAGTGTTGGGTAAATAATTACATATGCTGGGTACAATTGTTAATTGGTTTATAAGCATATTTCAGACTTCCAGTTATCTGAACCTAATATTAGATAAAAGTCATCAACTATTCTAGTTTGCACGGGGATATTAAAATTATGAATATACTGATCGAATATTTCAGTAGTTATACGAGAAAATTAATATACTGAAGAAATAAAGGTAAACCAATTCCAAAATGTGTTGAATTGATTCAAAGGGTTATTAGGAGTGGGATAATAAATAATACAAGAAGAATCTAAATAATTAGAAAAATAATAATTAAAAGGGATATCAGATAAATGTAATTTATCATGAAAATTAATTAATGTCTGTTATTGATTTCAATTAAATATAAAATAAAACTATTTAATAAAATATCACAACCTCACAGGAGGTACCAATTTGTCACACCAATATGTGGACAAGGGTCTGAAAGATAACTAATATTCTTTAACTAAACTAACTTAAACTACTTAAATAATTCCTAGAATTTCTCGGTGATCATTAAGATCAACTCAATTCAATTATTTAATAGTGAATTTGAAGGAATATTACAATGTGAGTTCTTTATTGTGTGAAGTTTTAGCACATCAAATTAGCTTGTTCACTTAATAAGATGTATATACTAAAGAGTATTTATACAAGATTAACTCAGGTTTTATTAAGAATTACGTGACAAATTAACAAATTAAAGATTTAATAGGGATATTTAATATAATATAACTTTATTAATAAATATAATAATAAATATAAAGATAAGATATAATATAAAATAGAAATTATAAAAAGTAAAGGTAAATATTAAAGGATTAAATTATATATTAATTAAAAAAGACAACTCTGTTCTGATCTTTTAAACTTATTGAGAACTATCAAACTTCCAAACTATACTTGTACGCAAAATTATTTTGAGGACCCGAAATTGTAATTTCGGGAAAAAAAGTTGAAATAGTTTTTCATAGAAGACGAAATTATTTTACCTAAAACCCGAAAT